TCACCTAGATCTAAGTATTCTAAGTCTAAGTCTTAGTCTTATTCTTTACGGGGTGTCCACTACGGCTGGATCGGGCCGATCGCCCGACTCGATCTCCTGAAACTGAAAACAAACAAGTTTTTTTTTTCTTTTTAGTTTAGGCAACCGAGTCGGGCAATCCCATCCGTAGTGTGCACCCCGTTGTACATGTAATTGTAACGTAACGGGGTAAACAGCCCCTAGCCTGTCCCGGTCGTTTTTTTATGCCAAAAAAAAATAAATGAAATTATGCTAACTGAGCCCAAAAAATGTGAAATTATGCGATTCTGTTAATTTTAACAAAGAATGATAAAGGAAAATAATCAGAAATTATGTAAAAAAATGATCAAATTTTGCTAAATTATGTGGGGTGCATAAACCACGGGGACAACCTAGCACACCTGAATGATTGGCCCAAAATAGATCATCATAGTCATAGTCATAGTCATAGTATGATCATAGATGATGTTTTTCCGCCATCAATTTCTGTCGTCCTCCGAGGTTTCCCTGGCGAGTTGACTACATTGTTTATAGATCCCCTAGATCTATCACCCTTCATTACTTTATTAATTATTTAATTATTATCATTCATCGGAATGCCGGTGACAAAGTTACTAACAATAGAAATGGAGCCTAACTACTACAGTGTACCACTACCAAGATGTTTCAATTCACCTGCGTCTGAACGAGACTTGGGCGCTAGATAGATTAGAACCTAGTCTTCGCAGTATAGTTAGAGCGTAACGGCCCGTGATACGAGTGTAAACAAACGTTCCAGCGCTGAGTTGAAAGGGATACATTTTGTCTTCGGGCAGAGAGAGAGGAGGAGGGGGGGGGGGGGCAGAGAGAGAGAGAGAGAGAGAGAGAGAGAGAGAGAGAGAGAGAGAGAGAGATTTTTTTGCAATCTGCGATTACAAAATGGTTCACGTGAAAAGTAACAAAATTTTGAATTGAAATTGTTTCACTTTCTGTCTTTCACTCAGGTCTCTAAAACTTTGGAAAGTCTTCCCCACATAAAATGTATAATTCAGGTTCCATGTTGACCCATCCGACTCTTGACTCGGGAGTTGGAGGACAAGGAGTGACCGAGTGAGTGACTGAAGTGAACTTTGCGCGATTGATCACGCGAATTTTAATAAAGGAGCATGCGCAGAAATCCCCACAGGCCAGAACACGGAACATGCGCAGAAATCCCCAAGGGTGAGAAGCCAGGCGGGGCTAATCGACCGAATCCGTTCGCCCGGAACATGCGCAGAAATCCTTGATCGGGCGAGTGGCCTGCCGCTAGCCACCCGACATCGGGCGAGTACACCATCGCTTTTTCTGGACTCCTTTGTCAAATTCTTTTTCTTGCTACTGGGAACAAGTTCAACAACGTCAACAGGTCTTACATTAGAATACAAATGTATTATATAATTTGGCAAATTGGAAACACGAGTGTCACTTTTCTCTCTAGATTTATTGCTCCATTCCAGTACATGTAATACAGTCATTAGAGTAGAGTAACTTGTAACTAGTAGGCCAATGACTTTCAGTTGATGTTAATGCACCGATCATTCCTTTCATTGGAGGCCCAGCTAGTAGGCCTAAGTATAATATAACTTAATAAGTTATATTTTCCGCATGAAAATAGATACACATGACCTATGGACATCTTAAAACTTATCAAAATACATGATGAAGTAAGCTTTGCTGTTTTGTCTTTTTTGTGAAAAATGCAAAAATCGCCGCCGCGACAAACGCAGATGTTAGAATAAGACAGGACATTAGAATATAATATATCATGTATGTCTCACGTGCTGAAACAACCCGCACTGAAAACATTCTCTCTCTTTACCTCTATATTTTACGTAACCTCACTGCAGTTGGTAGTTTTACAATTACAAATGAAATGCTGCTTTTAAATGTGAAAAAAACAAAAGAACTTGTCGTTGATTTTAGAATAAAGAAACTGCCCCTGCAGCCACTCAAAATGAAATGTGAAAACATCGAGCAAGTGTCAGACTATAGGTATTTGGGTGTTACAATAGACAACAAACTCAACTGGCGTGTCCACACTTCTCTCCTGCATAAAAAAGTGAACAAAAGATTATTTTTTCTTAGAAAGCTAAAGTATTTTAAAGTTGATAAAACGATGTCCATGTTCTACCACTCAACCATAGAAAGTATTATCAATTTTTGTATAACAGCATGGGCCGGGAACACAAGACAACAAGATAAAGACAAATTAAATCGACTAATACGGAAAGCATGTAAAATTTCAACATCTTCATTTCCCTACTTGGATGAATTGTACATAACAGCTTGCACTAAGAAAATTAATTCCATCTTTTTAGACAACAAACATCCCTTGTTCCCTCAAATAAAAACATCAGTCAGAAGTAAAAGACCCATGCTTCTGATCTGTAACAAAGAAAGATACAGAAGGTCATTTTTACCATCATCTATCAAAATGCTTCCATCTTAACCATCTATCTTGTTTAGTGTACTTACGACCTTAGAGCATGCATCAAAATAACATTGAGTGTGTATCTAGCTTACGATTATTATTGTTTATATTGCTGCTCATTTATATTATATATGTGATTGTAAGCCTACTTGTGTGTGCATGTGCGTGCACGTGTGTGTGTTTGTGTGTGTGTACTCGTGGTGGAACACCAAACCAATGTGCCAGGATCTGGACAATAAAGATGTATCTTATCTTATTTTATCACATGTATATATATATTACTGTAATATTATATGTCTGTACTTGCAGGACTGTGTCAGATTTTGTGTTCTCCAGATTAACATATTTTATTGTGGTCTGCCTGTCAAAAATTCCAGGACCCATGCTGCGATAAAATGACAACAATATACTCAATTGTTTTTAAATGACAAAACGATGCGGTTGAATTGTATTGATCATGATGTATACTGAGGAAAAATTAACAAAAAGTACCCTCACTTTGATTTTTCCTCAGCATTCAATACAATTCAACCGCATATATCTGCTGTCTTTGAAAAAAAAAACACTAGCTGGCTCAAGCAAAGAATTTATAAGATTTCATAACATTACTTCAAACGTTTGATAGAATGTAGTGTTTCGTATTCGTATTAAATCCCACTAGAATTTGACGCTGATGAAGATTCTGAAGTCAGATTTGCAAAACATGCGTTGGCACCCTTTTATTTTTAGCATCGAGTACAGTACCCGGATCTCCAATCCGTCAGATTATTTTCAGGCTCGTTCTGAAATCAAGTTCAAGCGATCTCACGGTGTGTTGAGATTTTTAACTGAGCAGTCCGGATTTTGGTCTTGAGATCGGGTTCAGTTGGTATTTGAGACCATCTCAAGATGGGCACACCCTTTTTTAACTGCGAATGTAGTGAGTGGCGGGCTTTAGAGTCTTGAAACTTACTGGAGATACTACACATGGGAATTTGAGTGCATGGGTGGTCTTATCTCAGATCTAGTATGAAAAGTGGACATACGACAGTTGGACTCTGGGCCGACGAATGTGTACACTACATATGTGAGGCAGCGTGGTGGAATCACGCTCTGGTCAAAATAATCAAAATGAAGAAACCTGCATTTTTCCATAGGTTTTTAAATTTTTATCAACCATGCCCAATAAAGAACTCGATGGATTTTTCTAAAAAACGAAATTAAATTAAAGGCACAAAAAATGTAAATTTTAAGTTATCAAGGACTTTTAAGCTAAAGAAATAACTAATCTTTGGCGGCCTTTTTCTCACTAATTTTGCTCTCAAAACAGACGACCCCCACCTCCTTCATTCACAAATAGATCTATCTCAACTTGTATTCAAGATAAATGGGTATATAAAGACAAATGAACAAGCTTTAACTTTAAGTTTAAGATACCAAAAACTCCAAAAATTGATGAGAGCCTGATTCCTGCACGCTGCCTCACATAGATATATAATGTACAAAATCAATAAATCCGCATGGACTAAGATTAGCTCGCTATGGCCCGAAAACTCGTGACTAGATACATGTATTGTGTCTTGGGGTCCATGCCTTCAACTTGCGATGGTTCGTGTGGCTTCACCATCCCCCATAATAATATAGCCAAAGCGTGTAATTTTAGGGCTTTTTTCTTAAAGTGAAGTGTTTTACAGCACTTGCAACACAAGGTCATCATACAAGTGCCGAAGATTAGAGGTGGTGCAAGAGAGTAACAAACACAAAATAGAAGTAGGGGAGGTAAGGACAAAAAATGTTTGATAGGAAAGAAAGAGCAAACCACACTAGAGCATCTGGCGCTTAGGGTTTTCCAGTTTTTGGCACATATGCACTTGTTTATCGGGAATGCACTCCTTTTGTATTTAATTTGTATTGGATGGTGCACATGGCATGTTGCAATCAACCTTCAGAGAAGTTGGAATCACCAGTAAGCCTATTTTCCAAAAGTGAATCACCGAGTAAAAAGCTGAACCAACATTAGGAATTTAGCCAGGTTGCACATGTCAAGGACAAAAATTGTAGGTATAGTCAGTGATTCGAGCCTCAGGCCCGACAGGCCCTTGGGAAAGGCACTTTACAAAAATGTTACTACGTTCACCCAGGTGGGAATGGGTAGGCAGGCTATCGGTTCATAGATCACCCAACCAGAAAATATTTGATTTTGATTCACTTTCTCCAATGGGAGATGTGCCACAGAATTTGTTTAATTAAAGCAAAGTAAGCCACATAGTGTGACATAAGTTGCACAATCTTTAGACTTCAAAAGTAAATTGGACCTTGGATACACGTAGGAGTACACTTCAGGTTTACCGCAAGGCCTGTCAAAATTGTTTTAGTAAGCGTTTTACAGCACTTACAACACTAAGGGGTCATGTAAGTTCCAAAGACAGGTGTTACAAAAACGTTAAAAAATGGAAATATGGAGAGAGAGGACAGTAGCTGCTTGACAGGAAAAGTGGCAACAAACAGACAAAACAACATGTATTTAAACAAATATTTTAAAAAACTACTGATCTTTATAAAATTTTGAAAATTTATTAATGCAAATACTAAACAATCACTGTTCAGCTGTTCAAGACAAAGAGCAGGGACTAGATTCTTGAACAGTTTAATCGACCTCCTCGATGGTGGGTCCGCTGCCTCCTGAGCCAGCATCGGGGGCACCTCCGGCACCAGGAGCACCTCCAGCACCGCTGAAATCAGGCATACCGCCGGCACCAGGAGCACCACCCATGCCCTGGTACAGCTTGGTGATGATGGGGTTGCATACACCCTCCAGCTCCTTCTGCTTGTGTTCAAACTCATCTTGTTCAGCCAGCTGGTTGGCATCCAGCCAAGAAATGACCTGTTGTTCAAAGAAAGAAAAAAAAAGGGTTTGTAAGAACAGATTTAATATTTTCATGCAATGATGCATTAGTTTGTCTAAGATATTCAGCATATCCTATTCAAATGAAAATCCTTTCAACTTCTTTCCAGCTTCTCTTCCAAATCACATTCAAACACCAAAATGTAAAACAATAAATTTCATAAAATTGTTTCAAAAAAAAAAAAGTTGCAGAAAAGAATGATCACAACAATGAGCAAAGAGACTGCAAAAGCAATTCATCTCCCCACAACCCATAATGTGAGGAGACGACCATGATTCAGACATCCAAGGAAGGACAATGGGCCATCTTCAGAACAAGAGCCGTTCTTCTGGTGGAAACCGCGAATGTATGGAATAAGCTTCATCATCATCATGGGGTCTTTCCGCTGCTCTTTGTTTTAGCAAGTTTACGACACTTGCAACACTTAAGGTTAAAGTTGCTGAAGAATAGATGTGTTACAAGAGAGTAACACACAAAAAAAGAGAGGATAAGGACGATAGATGTTTGATAAGAAAGAAAAAGCAAACCACACCAGAGCACCCGCCAACCACCCACGTGCCGCTCTCATTACATAACATTACAATACTTACATCATTGCACTTGTCAATGATAGTCTTCTTGTCATCCTCTCCAAGTTTGTCTTTCAGTTTTTCATCTTCAACCGTTGACTTCATGTGGAAAGCGTAGCTCTCCAGGCCGTTCTTGGCAGAGATTCTGGTCTTTTGTTTCTCATCCTCGTTCTTGTACTTCTCAGCATCATTCACCATCCTCTCAATCTCCTCTTTAGAGAGACGACCTATTCAAGAACAACATTCCTTGTTAGTTCCATCAATCATATCAGGGCTGAGACATGCAGTGTAAAATAAAAAGTGATTGCCAATATATCAACACAAAGGTACAACAACAAAAATCTTAAATTTCATCAACTTTTAGCATTCTGCCTTCACAAATCTGTGCAAGTCAATTTCAAGTCCAAGGCGTCTACATAAGATTTACGGCGCTCACAACTGCATACGGTCATATGAGCACAAGAAAATTAGGTGTTACAAGAGAGTAACAAACAAAAACGAAGGGGAGATATGCAATAATAAAAAGCATTCAGTGCAATAACTTTTTCACACCTGCAATGAAAATTGATCTTGCACTTTCAAACTAACTTCCATGAATGTGGCAACCTTTGCATACTGTTGTATTAAACAAATTTGTAAGTCATAGGAAAAACTTCATCGAGTGTCAACTTACCTTTGTCGTTGGTGATGGTGATTTTGTTCTCTTTGCCAGTGCTCTTGTCGGCAGCTGAGACGTTGAGGATACCGTTGGCATCAATGTCAAAGGTCACCTCAATCTGGGGAACCCCTCTTGGCGCTGGGGGGATGCCAGTCAGCTCAAATTTACCCAGGAGATTGTTGTCCTTTGTCATGGCACGCTCACCCTCATATACCTGGGGAAAATCACGGTCGTGTTAGGACGCAATCTATAAAGATCGACATAATAGTTGGAGTTGTTGATTTATAGCACTCAAAACAGTTTTGGTCAAAAATCCAAGATGTGCGACAATGCCAACAAAACTACGAAAGAAACCATGATTCAGACATCCAAGGAAGGACAATGGGCCATCTTCAGAACAAGAGCCGTTCTTCTGGTGGAAACCGCGAATGTATGGAATAAGCTTCATCATCAACATGGTTTCAGCTTTCAAAATTTAATCTTACAATACTTAGACATAAAGAACATCTCCAAGACAAATACCCAGTTTAAATCAAATATTACATTTCACGTCTGCCATCATAAAATGAAACAGCACTAGGCATTCACGTTTTAACTCTAACACTCATTGTCTAAAGACACATGCAGTCAACATTTCACCTTTATCTGATCTATACCTTTTAGGTTGTGTAGTCTTGAACCAACCTGAAATTAATCCATCACCAAATACAAAAAGGTACATACCTGGATGAGCACACCGGGCTGATTGTCTGAGTAAGTAGTGAAGGTTTGCGTTTGCTTTGTGGGGATGGTTGTGTTCCTCTTGATGAGAGCTGTCATCACACCACCGGCTGTCTCGATACCCAAAGACAGAGGGGCCACATCCAGCAGCAGGAGGTCCTGGACCTGCTCAGACTTGTCACCGTGAAGAATGGCGGCTTGCACAGCTGTAGATGGGATACCAAATCGGTTAACATTGCATGTACGATGAATCAAAAAAGTTAATATTGAAATCATAGTAGACAGCCTGTGTCCAATAACCAAAAAAGTGTAATGTCTAGTGTGTAATCAAATTATAAACAAGTACAGTAACCAAATCAAGCTTAGTACAACAGCCATGAGAGGCCAAATTCTGAAATATTACAATAAAAAAGGTCATCTTTGAAAATAATTTCAAGTGGAAACCTTACAAAAGCTGCCATGAACATTGAATATAAAATAGTCCCTAACCAATAAAATTTTCCAACTAAACATGAAAATCAAGAATGGCACTTACCAGCACCATAAGCGACAGCCTCATCGGGGTTGATGCTCTTGTTGAGTTCCTTTCCATTGAAAAAGTCCTGCAGCAGTTTCTGGATCTTGGGGATACGTGTGGATCCTCCCACCAGGACAATTTCATGGACTTGAGACTTGTCCATTTTGGCATCACGCATGGACTTCTCAACAGGCTCCAGTGTACCACGGAACAAATCTGCGTTCAGCTCCTCGAAGCGGGCCCGGGTGATGGTGGTGTAGAAGTCGATACCCTCGAATAGAGAGTCGATCTCAATGTTGGCCTGGAAACAGAAAATGAAATGTATTACAAAAATGGAGAAGCTGAAGCTTTTTTAAAAAGTTCATAAAAATACCAATTTTTTAAAAAAATGTATCATTACGCCGTCTGTGACTGCGCAAGCGAGACTACAAGGGAAGATAAAAGGACCCAAGAGCAAAAAGATCACATGCGAAGAGGAAATGGATGCTGGTTCATACAACCAGGTGATGTGAAATACAGTGGAGTCCACTTATAACGAGTCCGGAAAAAAAAGAGAAGTCTGTTAAAAAGACATTCTAAAACCCCGTTTTTTCCTCTTCTTTACCTTTGTAAATAAAATACTGGTAAAAGCGCAATCAAACATGCGAGTCGGCTATAGCGGAATATTGCTGCTGCTGTGCACAGGCCAATTATACATAATTAAAAAACCTCGCCAGTTGAGAAACTTGGTGATCTAGCGAAACAAAGAAAGGAGCCAATGTGTGTCAACAATGAAGGCTAGAGCGACTGAGTAGAGAGGTTGTGGTATGCGCAGACAAACAGAACGCATCGCGTGATAGGCCAGTGTAAGCCTAGTTTAGATTATCAAGGCCTACCATGCCTCTCACTTCTCCGATGCGGGGATGGAGAGGTCACAGCAATGTGATGGGTGGAGCGAATGAGTGACGTGCACAAGCTGACGGAACGCACCACAGGGTGTGGTGGGGGAAAACACAAGAGGGCGAGTTAGCCCAGAGCCCTTTCTTTCTGATCGCCAACCTGTCAGTCAACATCGCTAAATCTATCACTAGAGAAAGAAACCTGATTTGATTTTTGATCAAGTAAGACCCAAAAGTCATGTTGAAACCTGATAATCATCAGGGGAGATATCAAAAGGAAATAAAACAACCGCAAAATCATAGATTTGGCCTATTTTACAGCCTCCCTTGAATTTATTACTGGATCCATTATAGCGACAATCCTGCTATAACGGACATTTTGCTCCGGTCCCTTCCCTCTCATTATAACAGGATTCCACTGTATACTGGAACAAATTTTCTAAGCTGATAAAAAGAAAACCAACAAAACCAAGAGAAGAAAAAAGTTAAAATACACATGTGCTCACCTGAGTAGATGAAGATAGAGTTCTCTTTGCCCTCTCACATGCTGTTCTTAGACGACGGACTGCCCTCTTGTTGTCGGCAATGTCTTTCTTGTGTTTGCGCTTGAACTCCTGGATGAAGTGGTTGACCATGCGGTTGTCAAAGTCTTCACCACCCAAGTGAGTGTCTCCAGCAGTGGATTTCACCTCAAAGATGCCGTCCTCAATGGTGAGGATGGACACATCGAAGGTACCACCACCAAGATCAAAGATGAGAACGTTCCTCTCAGTGCCAACTTTCTTGTCCAGACCGTAGGCAATGGCAGCGGCTGTGGGTTCATTGATGATTCTCAAAACGTTGAGGCCTGAGATGGTTCCAGCGTCTTTTGTTGCTTGACGTTGAGAATCGTTGAAGTAGGCAGGCACTGTGACCACAGCATCTGTGACCGTCTGAAAAGCAAGAGAAAAATTATCCATGAAAAAATGGAACGGGGACAAATATTTCATTGGCACTTACATGGTTGGTCTACACAAATATAACTTACATTCTGGCCCCTAAACAACACTATTCCAAGCCAAAAAAATGCAGAAAATTTTCAAAAATTGTAGGCCTACTCATAGACTATTCAAAGAATTAAAGTCCTTGATTAAATTCAGCTAAAACCCACCAAAAAGCTATTTGGAGCAAATTCAAGGACTACCATTACAAACTTGCAGGATCTCTTGATGTTATTGTGAAAGAATAACTCCGACCTACCGAGTAGGCTACTTGAAGCAGTTTTACAATAAAGTAGCCTGAAAAGAACAATATTGTGTATAAAACTCAAGCATATATGCCATTTGAAAAGTGGCATATGCCACGACAAAATCCACATTGTGTGGACATGTCAAGAAAGTTTCTATCAAGTACCAACCTTGCCAAGATAGGCTTCTGCGGTTTCCTTCATTTTTGTTAGCACCATGGAAGAGATTTCTTCAGGGAAGAACAGTTTGGATTCACCCTTGTAGTCCACACTGATCTTTGGCTTTCCACCTTCATTGATGACATTGAATGGCCAATGTTTCATGTCAGATGCCACACATGGTTCATCCCATTTGCGACCAATGAGCCTCTTGGCATCTGAAAAACGAATTATAACACATAAGCAAAAACATATATAGAATCTATACACTTTGTAAATAAAGCAATGTAGACAAACACTGGCCGTTCATTTCAAGAACACAAAATAGAATCTGTAAGCATGGAGTAGCCCAAACCCCCGAACTGAAAATCCTGCTCCCAATTTTAATTGATTTTTTCTACACTACCAATAGAAGGCTGATTTCAATTAAACCTAAGCAGGAAAAAACCACACGCAAGACACTTGAGAAAATCACAAGACACAAAATAAGGGGGTGAAGTCCTGAAATCAATTCATCTTCAAGAACAAGCTATCAAATTCCTAACAATCCAAAAGACTTATTCAGTAGGCTATAGATAAGGAAGGGCTTTGGTAACGAGCGACCACCCCAACAAAGAATTGGAAAGACAAGTAGGCTATGAAGGCGAAATGCCGGACAACCACAACCTGTAAAAGTTTCGGAAAAAGGACTTCCATATTACGAGCGACCACTGACCACCCCAACGAACAATAAAGAAGAGACCTAACCCAACAACCACCCTTACCTTCTACTCTTGTCTCCCGTCATACTCATAGTGGTCCCTCATAGAAGCCCTCCAAAAGTTTCACCATCTCGGTCAAGTTTTATCAAGTGATATCTAGAATCTAGATCTAGAATTGGAATCTAGAATTTTTCCCTCTCTAAATAGTCTACACCAGGAAGCTAGTCAGTCACTCACCAAAGACTGTGTTTTCGGGATTCATGGCCACCTGGTTCTTGGCAGCATCTCCAATGAGACGCTCATTGTCTGTGAAGGCTACATAGCTTGGGGTTGTTCTGTTTCCCTGATCGTTGGCAATGATCTCAACTTTGCCATGCTGGAAAACGCCTACACACGAGTAGGTCGTTCCCAGGTCAATACCGACGGCGGGTGCTTTGCTCATTTTCCTTTATCTGAAAAACATCAACAAAAAATCCTTTTCAATCAAACCGTTCGTAAACGATCATACCTCCCAAAATGGATTAAATTATCATATGTGCACAGTTTAGTGAAAGGCATTATTTATTTCAGTTCAAAATCCAACAAAAACGTACAAAATCTAAACACAAGACCAGCGAAGATCACGGCAACGACCAATGTCACAGCACAAAGAGGCTGACAAACGACCGACAATCTCGCATCCGATGAAACAAGAATGATACACGTTCAAATAGATGTAGGCCTAAAGTAAAACCACTTACAACATTAAAAAGGACATAAACATGTAGATATATTTCTTTAGAAGGAATAGGCACAATTAAAATCACAACTTACTGCAATCAACGGTGTTGGAAGGCTAAATGTTCTAGAACAGCAAGGATCCCGCACTTCGGAGAGCTTGCAGTTAAGTGAACGAAACGAGGCGGTGGCTCTATTATAATGAACAACGCGACGCTAGTATCGGTTACTAACATTAATGTATTCGATACTTTTCCAATTTTCCCCGATCCTGCTTTGATACTATGATAGCCTAGGCTACCTCGATTATTGCGATTTGCCTTCAACGTGTGTATTCTTAGAATAGAAAATAATATATACTTTTTATTCTGATCCAAAAGATCTCGAATAATATGACCCTGACATGGCAAAAATGTAAAGATGGAATAGCATTAAATGGAACTAGTCTAAGACATGCTTAGCTGAAAATTGGCAAGTATCGAAAATATTGTTAGCCTTTGATCTTCGCGTGGTTCGTTTGTTCACACTGTAGCCTAGACAAAGTTTGGCGTGGAAACATTTTCTAGCTTAAACAGAAAACAGAAGTCACATTTTGTTTACTTAATAATAACTGCATTAATAAATGAGGTTATGATAAAAATAGAATGAAAAGTAAATGAAAATAAAGTTAATTCCTCAAGTTGGATCTGTCTCAGTCACTGGGCTGGAAACGTTCATTTGCCATTTCAACATAAGCCCGTGATAAGAATCAACCAAAACCCGTGCAATAACATGTCATTTGTGGTAGTAATAAAGCATGACACCACATAATAATACAGGTTATCAATTCTAGCGTGTATTTAGTAACACAGTAAAATTAAGAATTCTCGAGAAGCCTTATTACATGACCAAAACCAAGCTATAACTGTTACATCTTTCTGGGCGCCAAAAACTGTACATTACGTTACATACATATGATGGCGATGGCAGCCTCTAGGTGATTTTAATAATACATACCCTTTATAGCCTATCTCAGTAACCCTGCTTAAAAGATCCCGGGTTTTAGAAGATATTTCCTTTGGAAAAGACTTGGTTCCAAAGTACAAAAAGAGAAAAAGTCGTTTCCTATTTTTCCTGACGTCAAATCAAAACACAGAAACTTTCATTGTTTTTATGGTCAAACAAGTATCGCGGCGAATATATGATCTACGATGTGCATCGGTAACGAGGAACTGAATATCGCGTCAATTTAAGTATCGAAAATTACATCGCCGAACATTCGATAAGCCGGCGGAAGTGACGCCACCTCCGCACTAGAACGTTCTAGAAGAGAAATTTCACACCGAAGAAGGAGATTCCACCAATCAGAGACTACTTTGACTACCATGTGATCCAAAGCGTCACTAGCAACAATAATAATTCAGCGGTGGAAATTTTCTTCCCGCGAGCCAGGCTTCGCCTGGACGCTTTGTCGCGCCCAACTCTGGCCTACCTTTGTACCGTGTCATAACCAAAGAATAACCACGTGGTTCTAAAAATAAAATCGCGGTGTAATGCTCAGTGAAGCATTGGCTAATCTGAATTTTTGTACGTCTGGGTTTCGAAGAACCTGTCATTTCGGAAATCGCGAAAGTTCGATCGTTCGTTACGGTTTTGGTGTAGATTCTAGATAGATATCTAGATCTAGAATCTATATATACAATGTATATATCTATCTATATATATAATATTATATATATATATATATATATATCAAGCCCAGATCTACAGCTCACGTCCCAAAATATCCCTTTCATGAAACTCTTAAATGTAACAGTAGATCTAGAATCTAGATCTAATCTCCCCTCCCCCCTCCCCACACATCACAACAACCACATTCCACTTTTGCCAAGTCTCCTTTTTCTTCTTACAAATCTTAGTCTTGTAATTCCCCGCTCTTCTGTAATGGTTTTTTTTTCGGACGGTTCAGTTTATCAAATGAGCTCTTCAACCATTTCCTTGGAAAACTGACATAATGCTGATGGCGCGGAGAAATATTGGGATTTCCTCCAGTTAGATTTCGTTAAAAGCGTTGCGTATTCTGTTGTCTTTGCTAGTGGTACATAGCTTAAAATACATTTTCTTCTTCTTAAATCTTCTTCTTCTTCACAGCATAAATCTGCTGGTCTACATTGTAATCGGCTTGTGTTGAACACAAGTCAGTAAACTAGTCTTAATTATCATTACTAGGCCTACTTATAATTGTAATATTATAATATTATGGCACTGCAATACACATAGATAATATGCTATTTGAAATGGTGGGTAACGTACGCATATGGCCCCTCGAGATGAATTAAGATTGATGGACTGAAGATGAGCTCTTATTACCTGTTATATATATATAAATCTGCTGTTTAGATCTCTTAGATTGCAGTGCTGGCAAAGATTATCTACTACAACTACACGATCTTTGGTACTGGTACATTAATGTGTAAAAACAGCTGGTAGGGCGATTTAAAACGTCTAAAACGAGTTGTTACTACTGCCTCGATTGATCAATATAAATAATAATTATTATTATAATTATAATATTATAGCAAGTTCAACTTACCCCCCCCCCCTATCTTCTGTCTGTCTGTCTGTCTGTCTGTCTGCCTGTCTGTCTGTCTGTCTGTCTGTCTGTCTGTCTGTCTGTCTGTCTGTCTGTCTGTCTGACTCAATATACCTGCCTGTTTATCTCATATTCTCCCCCCACACACACACATACGCACAAAGAAGGGGGAAACGGCGCAGGAGGACGAATAACATAGGGTCTATTCTCACAACTGTATACGGCTGTCATGGTCTAAAACGGAATATGGCCGTCTTGTGCGGGGGGGGGGGGGCGTCTTACACAGTGTAGTATCATTATTATACGAATACGAAGGCTAAAAAATCTCTCGGGGAGAAAGATAGTGGCCCTACTTTTGTGCAGATGATGGTCTTATACAAGTGATCGTTCGAGCACGATCGCCCGTAAAGTAACTAGGCTTTTAATTAACTGGCAAATTTAAATGTAACAGCGAAACCTCCAACAACAAAACCCAATCAGAAGGTCTCACCTTTATCTCTGTACCTGGTACGGACAGGCAACGCAACAATTTTAAGCCAAATTCTCGAAGATTCCTCACATGTAATAGCCTGGTCTAGTCAAGGGCGTAGCAAGGCTTGGCTGACCTAGATAAAATTGAGTCAACCTGGGCTTACATTATAATATGTATATTATTACTCTTCTTTTTAATGGAAGAAAGTTACTATAAATATAATATATACATAATATGTACTAGGTTGTTGAAAAAAGTGAGTTCAGTAAATCAATGGTCGCAGCAGGTGTGAACCACAGCAAACAATACGTATTGTTGCTAGATTATTGAGTCAAAAAGTAGTCGCATTATTATTAGTTATCGTACCGCTTTATAAAAGAGCCTTATACGCGCGCACGCGCCGGCGCGTGTGTGTGTGTGCGTGTGTTTGTGTGTGTGTGTGTGTGTGTGTGTGTGCGTGCGCGCACGCGTATGTATCTCTGCGTGTGTTTGCGTGTCGGTGTGTGTGTTTGTGAGTGTGAATGTGTGTGTGTGTGTGTGTGTGTGTGTGTGTGTGTGTGTATGTGTGTTATGTTACGAATAGAAGGAGGGAGGTCCGTAAAGTCGAGTGTTGCAACAGGTGTGAACTACAACAGACGATATCGGCGGAGTGTCTCATTATCGTACCGATTTGTGAAAGAGTGTTGGTAGTGTGTGAATGTGTGTGTTTGGTTGTGTGTGTGTGTGTGTGTGTGTGTGTGTGTGTGTGTGTGTGTGT